CCGGAAGGTACACAACACAGCATGGTCCGTCCTTGACCCTGTCTGTGTACCGTGTGACGTCACCGCGGAGTCGCGCCTTCTAAGGAGGTGTCTGAGCGGCGAAAGTCACCCAAGGTCGCTAGGTGCTGCAGTGTACGATCTCGGTGGCAGTGGACATGGCAAGTACCGTGAGCGAAGTGCACGATCGCCGATAACTAGATGCGGGCTGGTGTATTGGTTGTATAGGACTTCTGTACTGAAGGCTCAGGGTTCAAATCCCCCCAATGGGGGTTATGTGATAATGTTGGACGGGAGGTTAGCGACACAGTTGAAGCTGTACGTATACCTCTCTAGAAAAACCGTGATTGGTGCAATGATAACAAATCCTTTTCTGTTCTAGAGATCGTCCTCTCCTACAGTAAAAGTCATGCTAAAACCACTGACAAAGGTGGTGGAGAATGTGGGGCATGCACTTAAGTATCTTCAGACGGTCAAAGTAAAGGCCACTATAGCAGTAGTAAACGTAAAACACACTACGAAAGGCCACGTTGGATTCTGCTATTTCACGTTTTGGACACCATGGATATCACTATTTGTTACTACTCTGATGATTCAGCAAAAGAGGCTTTCAACGGAATTTCGACTAGTTTGAGATCCACGAAAACCTAAAATGCTGTTTTCATAATTTATTCTTCTTAAAAATAAGTGGTAATCCCTATTATTTTATTATTTTACTTTTTTTTTAAGTAACTAAATATTAAATTTAAAACCAGCCTCTCCCAGAGGGCACACGAGTGGTGTGAAGCTACAGGTCCGTTATTCGAGTCGGCGATGCGTGTGATCTTAATCACAGATACTTCAGATACTTGATATATCCCCGGGATCGCTGATACGGTTACCGCTAGTCTACACGCACACTCACGTACGTTACTACCATCGCGGTTGTGACAGATAGATTGACAGCAAGTACAAGTAAGTATACAGTTTGTACAAATTACAAGGTTCTTGACAACTGACCTTGTTGGTGATTGGCAACATGCTCAACAACAATTAATCGCATTTGCAGAGCATAAAGAACTTTTTATTTGGTTAAAATAGTTTTTATGATTAGTTATAACAAGAAACAAACAGTAAAGAACATTAAAATGCCCTCAGCATACATTTCACGCTTACTCCTTCAGCTAACACAAGGATGATAAATTCTTTAGGGAGTATTGTAATCGATAAATGCGTTTTTATTCAAATTCAGAGTGTTTTTAAGGTTTACCATGAAATATATCACAATAAATAGTTAGTTAAAAATGAAATTGTGACTCATTCCTTTCAATTAGATCGCACACAAGGAAATGCATAGTTCCTTTGTCTGACCATTCTACACCCACCCTCGAATTCGAATTAAGGTTCAAATACTTACACAACGTTTGAAGTTTGGTCTTAGTGAAATGATAGAGTAAATAATTAGTTATTAATATCTTAGTTATTAATATGATAGAAATTAATATCTGATTTTTAATTTTGCTTGTCCTCTAGTATCATACAGTAGTTAAACACACCAGAGTATAAATGACAAAAAAGAGAAACATTTAATCATTATCAATACTCTCAAGCGTTGCCAGTCATGAAACAAACATCGAAATAGGAATTTTACAACGACAAGTCTTTGAGTATTCACAGTCATTAGAACAACTACTACCTATTGTGTAGGTTCCTGGTAAACCTTGATGTCATTTCTATATTTGAATTGAAATGTGTTACCATCGCCCATGTTTTTGTCTGTTTGAACTAACCAATCACCGAACAAGGCCAACTGTCAAACGTTGAAAGGATTAGAGACTAGGGAGCCCTAAATACTAAACCAGGTTGTATTTATTAATGGGACACAAAACAAGAAAGAGTTCACTCGATGTTTCTCATAGAAAGTAATAGGGTTACTTAAAGTGAAAGTAAGTCTGAAAATAATATAATCGTAATCATAATAACTAAACCTAAGATTATGTTTTGTAAAAAAAAATAATAATATTGTATTTTGTGCAAAATTAAATAATAGATAAGTTAATCTAAATATTAAAGAACTGCGGGATCTACCTCAAGCACCAGATGTGGCCGAAGCGAAAATCAGTCGGATGGAATAGACGTCCGGAAGAAGAAGCCCCCTTTGACGCCGAAACAAGACGGAGATAGATCGTATGAATGGCATAACATTGTTGAGCGCCGACGAAGAAGATGCAGATGATCGAAGGAAATTAAGATGAATGGTGATTCTGTACTTGGTTAGGCAAAATTCATTCATGGTTATACAAGAGGCCATTGTATTAAGGTTAAGTAGAATCAGTATAATACAATGCAGATTTAAAGTTATTTTCCGCAAAGAAGATGATATTACAGCCCAAGTGAAAAGTTCTCATTTAATGTATTTTTCATCGGATTCGATTATTTGGCATGCATTAGCTGTTCAAGCACGATGCTCTAGACCGCATACTTCCTCTCACCGCTATCTCTTGAACTCCGAGTCCTCGGATTTGGATTGTGCAAGCTTCTCTGTGGGCAGAATCTTCAACTTGACCCAAGATGTTCCTCCCAAACACAGACACCTCCGCGACCCGTTACTGATAATCACCTCCGATACATCTCAAGGTTGTAAAGAACCTAGTTTGTCTGAAGTTTATAGTGGAAACGTCCTAGATGAAATATTAGTTTGGATTAGCCAGGATTAGGTTACGGAGCCGCCTACCATCCTTTGACAAATGAGGAGTTCTACCGTTTGTGATTGATTTTGGTCATTTGCATAGTCGTGTTAAAAGCTACTTTGTCAATGTTGTGTATTTGTCTTGTTGTTTTGGTAAATTAAATGATTTAGATGCGTTTTAAGATAATTGATGGGATCGGTAAAATACGAGCACAGTTTATATAGTAACCATGTGACCACTGTCTAAGTTAAGGTAAATTAAATGAACGATAGTAATAGGTGAATTAATCTCAAACGTTACATAATAACTCATCACATTATAATTGTACCTAATGTTAATTAAATACATTTGATTGAAAATCAATTCAGGCAAATTGAAATTCGCTCGGCAGGTTTGCTGCGGCGGGAGTATTTTTATTCAGCATCATTAAACTTTTATTCTATTAAAATATTATTATTATAAACTAATCCGTATGTTTAACCCATGTTTACACCGACACCTATGTTGAGTAAACAAATACTAGATTTTTGAAGGTTCAATATTGGACTGAGCTCAGTACATTATACAGCATCCAGGCGTATGCCTTGATAGAACATTGGATTTGTTAGTACAGTATCGTGATCTGGTTCAACTAGGGCCTAAAGTTATTCTATTCGACAAGAGCTCCCAGTTTACTTGAGGGCAAGCAGGAATCGGAAAATGAGCGAGTGTCGATAAAATCTTGGCTTGTTTGATGAACTTAATTTTTTGTCATATGGCACCATTTTAAGTAGGAAAGCAAACCAAACCAGTACACAGTAATATTTCGAACGTTGTTTCCCTTTATAAACTAGTTCATGTTGTTTTGGTGTTATATGCAAACAGCTGTAATTGAAATGGTAACGTGATTCTTCCACAAACACAATTTACTACAAAATAATAAAATACCCCCGCCGCAGCAAACCTGCAGACTAAGCGAATTTCCATTTGACTTATTGGATTTACACTGAAATGTCTACTTAAAAATATAACATTTATTCCCTTAGTTTCAGATTTAAATTTGCTTAAAAATCGTAGAAGAGTATTTTATATGTCGTGAAAAATAAAATGTGTCACGATAATAATTTGATGAACACACAAATCGTAAGGACAATACAGTACGATAATATCTGTTTAAACTCTGGACTATTTTCTTCAAAGAATCAACGAAGGAATAAAAAAAATAAATGTACATCTAATGTCACGACCTCTTGCTGATTCTTTTTCTAGGAATAAAAAAGCCGAATCTTTAATTCGTAGATTAGTAGTTCGTGCACTGTATTGAATGCTGCCGTTTCTCTGCAGCATAACGGAAAAGGCATTTCCCCCATTATGACGCCTATCATTGATATCTTCCTCACAATAGCACTGATTTTGCGTGGGTAACAGTCCAAACAGTCTTCAACTCAGCCATATAAATGAACTATGATACGCCATATCATCACTCTCACCACAATAATACAACCACCGAATTTCATCCGACGAACTGGACGAGGCCCTCAATAACTCAGAATTAGAATGCAATTCCAGTCACGATGCTGACATCTATTTTATGGCTGACAGAACAGCCGGGACCATCTACCCAGCAGGCTATGGGATGATGAAGACTTTTGCCCACGCCGATTTCGTTGTCAACCGTTAGTTCTAATGAGGGCAGTTGTTTTTAATGAGCTTCGTTTGGAAGAGAGTTGTTATTTTTGTGACAGCTACGCGTGGTCGGAATGATACTTCTCACGATGCGTTTGTAAACAATAGGCCTACTTGGTTAAGCAGAGTGCGTAGGTTTCGCCGTTAGTGCATTCGCTTTTCGGGCTCAGGATAATCACAGGTTAACGCGACTGTTAGAGTGAGTACCAACACTAATGATGATGCAACTAGAGGTTCGTCTTAGCTTCTATAATTTCGCTTCAAAAACATGAAATTGTACATTGTATATTTGAAGGATTGCTATACTACATGTTGGTGAGTCTGCAATAGTTGTTTGATAGATTCAGTTTGCACTTTAATTAAGATAAATACATCTTGCAGTTTTTGAGTGTGCAACGTTATAGCCTATTCACTTTATACATGAAAGAGCAATGAGCATATTGACATTTCGTTCAGTACGTACTAACTACTTCTAGAACAAATCAAAAGCCGATACAACCAGTTTCAGCAAAAAATGTTAGCTCAACCTTGAAAGGTCAAATGTGTCGTTGCCCTTCCACTGCAGAGGGTAAAATATTGCTCAGAACAAAATGAAAAATGGCAAATCCGTTGGAACACCAGCAGAAGCTATTACTAAGACTATAACTCATCGTTACAAGCGGCTCTTACCTGATCAGTTCGGTCGTCTACCTCCGACGATGAGGTTTGTCTTCTTCTGGAGATCGCCGGAGAAGAGTTCACAGACACATCACTTCCTTTGTACTCCGTGTACCTCGTCCTCAGTAAATCCTCCGTCTCTTCATCTTGCTTCTTACTCTTCTTATTTTTCTTGCTGTCTTTACTTCCAAACATAAGCTGTTTCACTTTCTCCATTCGAGTCAATTTCTCCTTTTTCTTTTCTTTGGTGAACTTATCTTCCTTCTTAGAAGATAACTTACTTTCGGACTTTGTAGGCTTTGCGTAATTCTTCACTAAGGTCGATGAAGTTGGTATGACATCGGATTTTTTCCGTTCTTCATAAATGAATCTAGTCGATATGTCCCCTTTGTACCTTTTCTCACCGTCGGAGTGGTAGTCTGATTTATTTAAAGTCGGGGTTGACTTCGTTCGAGTTGTTTCGGTTCGAATCACTCTAGTGTTTTCAGCGTTTCTTCGGTTTAAAGTTGAAACGTCTTTGCTCGAATCTTTCCTATAATCACTCATTTCAATGCCCGAATCGGCTAACACATCTTTGTTCTTTAAAAACTGTTGCCTATGATGGGTGTTTATTTCAGTAGCTATTTTCTTTTCAAAGTACCCTTTCTCCCTGTCATCGTTCATCTGTGAGATCAGAAAGTCTTTTTTTAAGTCTTGCTTCAGATTCTCATCTCGGTAACTGTTATTCTGGTGGGCCGTATTGAGAAATCTTCTCCTCTGGTTGGTCAGTCTCGACTCGAGCCTTTCCCTACGGTAACTCAGGTTATTGCTGTCAATCAAACTCGTTTCTAAGGGAGGAGTCCAAGCTCGAATCGGTTCTTGATATTTGATCCTGTCTAAATTGTCATAGGAATGTATCTTGCCCACGTCACTGAAATGGTTGGTTTTTAAGTGTGTCTCATCCTCGAAGAAATCCTTGGAAGCTCTCCTCTTGGTCGAGTAGTCCATTCCGTCTGCTCTACCTCTACCGTCAGGTTCATCTGTGCCCTCCACCCTGATGACTCTCTCCGTCTTCACTTCTCTCCGGTATCCTCCCACCACGTTTTCGTCCAGGAGAGGGTTGCTTTTGGATCGCAGCATATTGATGATTTTGTCTTCGCGGATGTCATTGTCTTTCTTCATCGGACTGATGTCAAGCTCTTTCTTGATGTCTACCGAGAATTCTCTTGGGGAAGTAGACCGCTGGATGTCACTTTCGTAGGAGAACCTCCGCCCCTGCGCCCCTCTGTGACCCATGTCCACTCCTTCGTCCTCTTCCGATCCTGCAACGAAAGTAAGTAATTTTTAAACTGTCAAAACATAAACCGACATCAGTTTGCATTTTACTAAATTATTAAGTCGCTTCGCTGTAATTACAATACTATTCGCTGTGAAACATTTGCCAAACCGTTCGAATCAGTTAGAAATTAGAACATTGGTCATAAATTATATTTATTAACGATGGAGAGATTTTTAAATGAAATTGGATTACGTCGTAGAGTTCAATCTACCTAGGGAATTCTTCTTCTGTTGTGTAATGTATCTAGTAAATAATTCTTTAACTTGCAGTTTAGTCTATCGATTATAATTATGTTAATATAGACTAGCAACCTGCGTCACTTCGTGACTTCAAAATCCGTGATATATTTGATATATAGTTGATAAGGATGAACACGATTATTTCTCATCATATCCCTATTATTTTGATTGCGTGCGCGACCTAATCCAGGCATCCCGCAAAAGGCACATTTAGAGGTAGTATCTATCTAGAACCATTGATACCCAATATGTCTATGAAAATAAATATTTAGGGATCGATTTGCTGCACACAAAAATTCAAAAATTTCTTTCAATGATATAGATAAGCATCTTAATTTAAGTGTTTTATCTTTTTAACGTAGAGCTGAATATTACTGATGAACCACGTGTGAACCTTTTCATAGTTAGTTTTACTAAGATTCATGACTTAAACGTGCTTTAACTGATCATTATAATATTTCGCAAACATACTGTTGAATGATAAATTTCTCTATATTTCTCACTCTTTGAGGCTAACAAGTGAATCACTCAGAAGGAGTTGTAACATTGGCGGCAAAAATCCCATCAGGACGAAACATTTTCATATCATCAAAACGACAAAGTTGACCCGCCCGAAGACATTTGGCACCGGAAGCCGCCTCCCTCGCCGTACCTGGCATAATTCGCCAGTTCGCAACACCTTTGCCATCGCCATCACATTGCATTGCAACGTTGCCAGTTATATCAGCCTTTAACCAGCGACGTTGCCACTTTTACCGGACTTGTATCTCCAAAGGCAACTCCCACTTTGCCACCTCCGTGTTTTGGGAGTAGAAAAGCGGTGTTTCAGATTATATTGCCGACGTTGTTTATGGTGGTGGTAAATTAAAATCACATTAGGAGAGTTTATCGTAAACTTGAATTTTGTTTCTATTTTATTGGTCTATGGTTGAAATGGGTGTTAACAAATAAATCTGTTTTGCTATCTCGCCAGTTTTACACGCGAAAATAAATGTTGAACTAAATGATTAAGTGCTCGCATTTATGTGATCACAGTGAGCCCTGCCATCTCAAATTTACTAACAAATAAAAATTTTAGTAGAGCTGCGTCATAATAGAATCGAGCTAAACCTCCCACTTGGAACGCAATGCAATCGTTCTCTACCAGTCTATTGAGGCATTGTCTAGTTTCAGTCTTTCGGTCCTATAGATCAAGAAAATTGAGATATAAGATAACACTATAAGAATTTTCACTCTCCGTGGTTTTCTGAGGCACTGGTTTTGCTATTTATGTCCAGGTATCCTGAAAATAACTTTCAGGACGAGACATTTTCCGGATTTTGAACAATTCGTTACAAAAATAAAGTGCCCTACTCATATCTCTACTCGTTTCTTTTGCTCAGTCAAAAAATGGTAACCCCATACGAGTATCCAAGTGAATTAACAAAACACAAGTACTGTCAAATCTGCTGACCTAATAACTCATCCGCATACAAAACCAGAATAAAAACTTATTTCAGTTGAAAATCTTTCTCTACATCATCCCCAGAAAGTAGCTCTGACAGTGGTGTGCAGAAGGCAACCCCTCGCACCTGCAGTTCACAGTACTTTCTACACCGATTACGCCTCCGTCCGCGGCTGTGTAGAGCGTGCTCTCCAATCATCAGTCATTGTTATGCAAGTGGGTAATCGTCAAAAGGCGGGTGAGAGTAATGGAAGGGTTAATACATCAAACATTGAGTACCTTTTGCGAAATGTATAACATAATCACTGAATCCCTAGTGACTAGAGACTAGATAGCGACATGATTTTAAAACTGTTTATAAGCTGATTATGAGTGCAGGATGAATGTAGAAGGATAGCGCGATTGATCTCTGTAGGTATTTTACTGAGTGACTTATTAGCTGTTACTTTAACAAAGAAATTTTATTAAAAGCCAAATTGTCAATGAGAACTTTTTCTGTTCGAGTTTCGCTGACAAATAACGCACATATAGAGTGAAAATGAAAGAAAATAACAATTATAACCAACCTTAAATTAAATGTAACTAAACAAATCCCATTCATACATGAATATATAATTTGTGCTCATACTTCAAGATAGTTTTACAATAGTTTATTCTGACCAATATCACAAGAGATGTGAAGCCAGTGGGTTGAAGTCGACCTCGAGTTTACTTGTGGCTTGGTAAATATCCAAAGCAACTAAACCCACTACATCAATATCGGCCAAGGATCTTCTTCACCTGCGTCATAAAATCATACTCATAAATCTAACCGTATGAGAATAGCCACTCGAAACCCCCAGGAATACCACTTGTGCATCAATCTTCGTAGAATAAGGGTAACTAACGGTATTGTGTTAAATTTATGGAATAGTTATTTAAAATGTATTCCAATCTTATCATTAAATAGTCAAAATTTGATTGAGGTTTGATAAGATGGTGAAATGTGATAGTTGCGCGTTTCCGATTTTAATCATGATCAAGAGAAACTCAAAGTGTACACAGTAGTATGTTTATGAAGGGCCTAATGTGTCTCCGTTGGGCAGAAACTCGCGTTTATCGTAAGAGGCAATAAACGAAGGTCGGAAAATGAACGAGGGTCAAAAACACTTAACGCCCGTGTTGAGAATTGCATTTTAACTGCACTAAGACGAACTATTTCACAAAAGGAAAACTTTAAACATTGTTTATTTGCAAGTCAGCATCCAAAATGATTGCTACGCAAAACTAACAACATTATTTAGCTACATTAGGTAATACTGCAACGCAATAATGAATTCAACGTTAAATTATGTATATTTTTATGTTTATACCAGCCCCATTATCGATTAGGAGGTATTTATTCTAATGAAATATACAGTGTGAAACTATGATTAAAGTATATAATAAGTAATAACAATGTGATCCTATTTTGACTGATCTGGACTATTTTGTTCGAAAAAAAAATCAGCGGAGGGTTTTGAAAATTGAAAATACAATAATGTACACCTGGTGTGCTCACTTTTTCATCCTTTACCTAGGGAAAGAACTGCTGTAGTATCTAAACACACTCGTTTTAGCTGAAGAATTACGTAAAACTATAATATAGAATAGGTAAAACAATTTTAACTGTTGTGTAAAGTTTTAATACAGTTTCATTGCAAAACACGATTCACATGTTTGCCATGGCACTAGGCCTACTCATCTCGAGTCCATCTTGACAAAAAAGAAAGAAAAACGTCGGTTCTATTAGCAGGTCCCGGATCGCAGGGACTTTATTATGATACAGCTATTTGCAGGCTATCAAACCCACATTGCCGTAAACCACACACCACTGCTGTCAAACTCAGGGAACAGGTCCAACCTACAAGAGGGTGTGAGTGTGTGTGTGTGTGTGTGTGTGTGTGTTGGTTTGCAAGTATGTGTCACCCATACCATGAAGTTTAACGAATCAACCGTGTCGTACTAGCTCAGATCTCAAAACAGGTTTAAAGTATAAAATTCTATTACTTGAACTGAAAACTCGAGTTTTGCTTGAACATCTGATTGCACATTGATAAGATTTTAAACCAAAAAGGCTCCTCCGCCGTACCTGTAAACAGTGTTGTAATGCTTTCGTGTCTGAGCTTAAGTTGTTTACCAATGTTTGGATAAGAACTTATGTTAAAAAAATATATTATGTCTTATATTGTTCTAACAATGAAACAGAACAGCAGTTAGTTCTCTAGATTTCATGGGGGGGGGGGGTTCTCATAGCTAAATGTCACATAAACGAAGAAAATATCCGTCAAACGTCACCGATTAATATATATTATAAATGTTTAAGAAAAACTTTAAAATTTTCCTTCAAATTGGACTGGCAACCAACAAACGATATAAATTGCTTTGGAGATTTCAACGCTGGGTTTCAGTGAAGCCTTAACGTCATAAAGATAATTCAAACTTTTAAGATTAGGTGTGTCCTATACCGTTAAATAAAATACTTATTTATTTTTGGAGATCGGTCAGTGAACTTGATCTTAATCAAATGAATTTAAAAAACTATTAGGAAAATGGTATTATAATAGACTCATCTTTTGATCAATAAATCTTTAGCAAATCGGCTTGAGCAGTTGAAGCGATTTGGCTAACTAAAGAACTACTTTGTAATTTACTACGCTACTCCACACTAATGTAAATTAATATTCGATTAATTAATAAACAGCTTTCACTTGTGCATAATAGTTGAGCTCTTCACCGAACCATACTTAGATTATGTTGATGTTTTCAAAGGTTGATTCGTCTGAAAATGGAAGTACCCGTTTGCGCGTGTCACGTTTTGAAAATCATTCGACCATATACGATGAGTTTGCATAACTTTGATGTAAATGGTGCTAATTAATCGATTAATGAACACCCAAACAGACAGACAGACGAACAGATTAGGAAATGACGTAATTGTTGACGGAGCTAACAGCTGTGCCCACAGGTCGGTGATGTCACTGCTGCACCTTAGTTTGGTGGTCTTTGATGCGAGTGCTGGGTTCAAAGGGAAATCAACATTTTATAGGACTTTGAATAGTGCAAGTGGTATTTTCATATGTTGCAAAACCTGAAGCATGTTTTTATATGATTCGTGATTCGTGGTGATGACGTTAATGATGTCGATAACATTTTGCAGTTTCATTTTCGGACATATTTGACAAATTGTGCTTTAATATTTGGATATGATGTCACAGAACAAGCTGTGCTTACAGTTGGGTTATTTTATTTATGGTTTATTATTTTTCAAGAAGCCAATGTACATAAACGCAGTGAGAAAAGATTATTGTAAATCAATACTGTATGGTCGCATACATTAAGTGTGAGACTGTTCAGATATTGGTTATTTTGGGTCCCTTTTTTACTCAGAAGTTAACAGTGTTTTGAGGAATTTCAGGCAGTTGTCAATATCATGATTTACACGATGTTTGCAAAACGTCCATACGTCGTATAATTCAGGAAGAACCTTGTATGAAAATATTGCATTTGCTTACAAAACAAGAAACCTTGCAAAAAAAACAAAAAAACACAGTAGCCCTGAAATGGCGGTGAAAAAATCTATAACTAAACAATGGATGTGTAATTAATCCTCCTTGGAAAAAAAATTATCGTCTAAACACTATCGATAAACTCTAAAAAGTAATGGAAAGTTTAAAGTGTAAAACTCAAATAGTCAACAAGTCAACAACGACCGTTAAAATCAGGAAATTTACTTAGTGCTGTTAAAAGTGTTAATGGTAAACATGCGCCGGTAAACAAACGAAAGAAATTATAGGTTTTCTTTCGTTACTAGATTTTTGGAATGTAATATAACACACAAACCCCGTTGTTAACCTAGAATATTTGCCTTGATATGTTATTAGTTTTATTTTCTTTTAAAAAATCACACAAGAAAAAAACATCATAATACAATTACAGTACTTGATTATAAACTGGTAGTAGCGATGTTAAAAAGTAAGACTAGAAAACTATACAAAACATATTTAAAAACGCATAGAGGAATGAAGAAATCATAGCGATTTCATCAGAAAATAAACTGCAAACACAAAACTAATAATTTGCGTAAAACCAGGTGCACATACGCATTTGCAGGTGCATAAACATTTGGCAAAACAAATACAAACTAATCTATTTGCAACAATAAAAAGGCGAGGGTTTGCGATTAAAATTAGATATTACACAGTAGATTGTACACAATAGTATGGTGATATCTACACAGCAATACTCTATAAACAGGTGTATGTATACTACTAACCGGGTGTAGTTTGGTGCGGCCTCGGCGACGGGTCCGCGGTAACTGCAGTGTGGACCGTGGTCTTGCCTCCTGGCCTTGCGACCACCTCCGCATATACGACAGTGCCACCATCACCGCCCACACCTCTCCCAGGACCTGTCTCTGCCTCCGCGAACCTGCGACACAGACAGTGTAAGTGGAGGAACCTGCCGTGGTGGATATGTAGGGGATCATGTGACGGGTAGAAGACGACTGCAGGGATACTGTGACAGGTCGGTGAAGGAAAAGAGAAAAATAATGAGGGGTGCCGGACAAAATGATAGTAGGGGGACGAAATACATGTATGGTGGCAAATGTTGGTATGGAAACAGGAGTAACGATCTTATGACAGGCTGATGATAAATAGTGGAAACATTATTGCAGGAGTCCTCTGACAGGTTGCAACAGGAATAGAGAAAACACGAACTAAGAAATCTTGTGACGAAGGTTGGAAGGGATACAGAAATTTTACCAATAGAGATATTCTGGGATGAATGAGAGAGCGTGAATTGAGGGATTCTGATGCTCATAGGTTGGCAAAGTAATGGAGAATACATGACTGGAGGGAGCCTGTGACAAAGGTTGGTAAATGACTGGAGGGAGCGTGAATTGAGGGATTCTTTGGTAAAGGAACGAGGAAACATGGATCGAGGGATGCTCCTTCTCAGGTAGGTAAAGGAAGAGGGGAAACGTAAATGGAGGGATCTCGTTACTCAGGTTGGTAAAGAAACTAAGGACACGTGAATTCAGGGACATTTGACATAGTACGGTAGAGAAACAGAAAATTCATGAAGGGCAAAGTCCTGTGGCAAAGTTTAAAGAACTTAGGAGCTATTAATGGAGAAATCCTGTGGCAAAGCTTTTATAATAAGAATTTTAGAGGAGGAATCCTGTGACAAATTATGTTAGAAGAATATAGTAAAACATTAATTGAGTTTCTTGATAGAGGATTTGGTAGAGGAGTATAGAAAGCGCGATTGAGGAATCTGAAACAAGGTGGGTAGAGAAAACAAGACTAATATTTATAAACGGGGCGTGTTGCTACCAACCGTCACACTCCTCTGTATCCGAGGGATGAGCATAGTTGGTAGCTAATGTGTCAACACTAAGAAGAAGAGTGGAGATGTTGCGCAATAAGTTCGCTGAGAAAAGGACCTTTAACATAAAATAACTAACCCATTATTTCCTAATGACAACTTTTCGCCTTGTTCTACGATTTTAGAAAACGTTAAGAGTGTTTATTTTCTACTAATGGATATGGCAATACTAATGGCAAATAATAAAAAAAATTTACTTTTGTACCACCCAGGTAAACAACAATATTTGTGTCTACTAAATAGCACTATTTTTTAGTTCTGACTAAACCTAAATATATTTTGATTGCAAAACAAAAAACATAGATAACAACATTAAACATAATTGACAGAACTAAGTAAGGAGGCAAATATATTAGGGAAATTAAGTGCGAATTTCCTCCTCGTACATGTTTACCTCATTATTCTTAAAAACAAAGTACAAGTGGAAACATGGCGTCACTTTATAAGCTAAATAACAAAACCAACAGACATTTGGGTTAGTCATAAGACCAGTATAGTTCTTGACAAAGGAAATCCCATTCTATCTATACTTGGTCAGTTTGGTTGTACAAAGGTCACGTTACTCACCTCCAAGGCTCCTGGGACTCCACCACGGCCGGCGACGACTCCATGATGGGCGACAGTTGTTTCTTCTTCCTCACAGGAGGCACCACCTCCTCCCGTGGCTCCAGCACTGGTGGTTTCTTCTTATTCTTCTTCCGTATCCGGTCCAGAGTCCCAAAGATGGAGAACTCCTTTTCCTTCTTCGGCTCCCGGCGACCGGCGTCGCTGACGCTCCGGTTCAGTCTTCGCCTCTGGGGCTCCGTCCGCTCCGGTGACACTCCCCATGTGTTGTCTGGGTTGGAGAACCTCCTCTTGAGTCGGACACTGTCTGGAGGCTCGGAGTCCCGAGGCTTCCGCCCTCGCCGGTCGAGAGAGTTGAAGACTGAGGCTGCTGACGGATGTACTGCAAGACAGATTGCAAATTAAGTACATTCTATAATCCATGCACTAAATAACTGTGAAATTGTTTTTCGAAGTAAAATAGTAATACTATCTCAAATCATTTGTGAACTTACCCAAACATAATTATCAACAATCATTGGAGATAAATACAGTACCGGTATAGAAATATATAATTTGAATTATCTATATAATTAATACGCTACACGAAACTTTGTCGGTTGAACTCCTCCGCCATTTCTTAACCGATTTTATCCATTGACGACTCATTGGAAACAGCGTGTCGCGTAGATTTGCAAACTGGCCTTACATTTTTGAAAAAGTCCCTTGGGCTCTGCCCCAGTGGCTTTGAAAGTTCCCATGTTATTCTTATGAAGAACATAATTGTTAACATTTCAGCTGTATAATCAGCTGTATAATTTAATTGCTGTTATTTATTTTTCAATTCAATGAAACACATTGAGTACATTTATTTACTATTTGAGTTTGTGTAAACATAACCCCCAAGACAGATCGTGTTAGTATGGTTGTATCTTAAATTTGAGTATTTATCGTTGTTTTGTGTCGCTATAATTTGTTTATTTGTAGATTTTTTCTTTTAAATGCCTCCGACGCTACGACAACGAAACATAGACAGGAGGCGTAATCGTGATAACGACCGCAGCTACAGAACAGTGGCGCGTAATAGGCTTTACTTCTCACTTAGCACCTGACCCTGGACAATCTCAACTATTAGGTTACAAATGCGCCCTAACACTACCCTAAAACGACTTTTCGTTCTCAATTTGCCCTCTATCAATGACCTGTGTTGCCTGTTCAGCGAGGCATTTTGAGAAGGAGAAAACCGGCCGGAATGCTTTAGGTTTATCAATAACGAAGAACGAAGATAAACTTGGTCTGAGTTACACACCGGTAATCTTTGAGTTGACTCTTTTAAATTCGTTGTAAATATGACTGTTATTCGTTTTGAAATAACTCCTGGTATACTTTGCAATTGCTCGAATTCGATCAACATGCACACTAGTAATAATTAAATACTAGTACTCATTAAATAACATCCACAGCTTCCATCCTTTTGAGGATACACATAAATAAATGTTCAACGGTATTTTTAGAAATCGATTGTTCACTAATGCAAGCAATGTTAAGGGGATCAACTTTAACGACTAGAACAATTGATTAAAATTGCGATTGGAATGCAATATTCATAAACGCGACTGGTTCAACTATCTGTCTATTAAGTTGCCAAATATTTTCTTGAGGAAACCGGAATTAAACAAGTAGATGGGGTTTGGTATTGGTGAGCTTTACTGGGAACAAATTATAAATCAAGTTCATAAACTGTATAATCCAACTTTTTAACCAAAAACAGTGTCAAAGAACCCATTGCGATTTCTACTTAGCCTCCCAAAATCCAACCAAATCAAAATCAATGCGTTAAATTTTTAATTATTGGTGTTTATAACTTAACATTACATGTTTAATGGTGTTTTAATATTTATCGTTTTTTTCGGTATTCGAAACAAATTACCGATTCGGGATCGGGACAATGGTACTTAAATAAGAAAATCTCTACCAGTTTGTCCTACAACCTGGAAAATCAGAAGCAACTACTACTAGATCACTACTACAAGAGCTCTCCTGTAAAGTCGCGCATCTGTACCAGAGTTGTTAAACGCAATGTCTCGCATCAACACGACGCGACGCCGTCATTCAAATATAACAATAGAAGAGTCAGTTATATGACATACACCATGTGACAGGTGTAGGTACAGGAGTGCCGCAGATGGGCGACCAAGTATAATCTGAAGGTCACACAGCTCATTATCAGTTATCACTTATCACCAAGGTCACGTGAGTAGATAGGGTTGCCTGATTTTTTCTCCGGCGAATAAAAGTGACAGCGATGTTGGGAATGAGTATACGAGTGTGGGCAGGGGACGATTTGTCCTCGAGCGAGCGACGACGACTTGTGCAGGTTAAAACTGTATGTTAGTTCCAGCAGCGTGCTTGCTGGTAAAGACTTATGGTGTATGAAAGCTAGGATATGAAATTATGAGTCTTTGTTAAATTAAGTAGTAAGTTTATTTAATTTTATAAAACAATTGGAGTGATCACTAAACTGGCATGTGTTAATGTGTAATACTTTGGATAAAAGTGAGTCTTGCAAAATTGTTCCAACCTGAAGAATTCTTAGTTTAAACCGTTCCTTGTCGATGGAGCCGGTACAGCGCCTGTCTTCATTATCAGCAAAGTAAAAAGTTGTCTTCATGGGATTAGAAAAGGTAACTACCTTTTCACATTTGTAAAACTGAGACATGAGCAACTTGTTATGACTTAAGTCAATAAGAGTAGCTGTGTATCTGGATGATAATGAAAGATGGTAAGTTTATATATAGGTTAAGCTTAGTAAAAAACAACATTGGTAAATAATAAAGATTTGTTTATTCAAAATATGAAGTTGAATACATTTCAAGCCTTACACATATTTAGAAGATCATCATGAGTGACTTCCAGAGACAATGTATATCTCCCAGTGACATCCTGGCCCAATGCATCTGATCCGTCATCGCAGTAGACTATATTCTTGGTGCTGCTCTTGTCTGTTGTCTGTTCCTTGAAGCGAAGATAGGAGCAAAACGGTGAGTTGTAGCGATGATCTTCTATTGCGTCATCACCTTCTTCCCACTTGAAAAGATTAACTCCACAATAAACGCATTTAGTGGTGTCCTTCATAGCAGCCATTTTGACAAAGCCTTCATCGGCAAGCTGCTTAGCAGAAGGAGTTTTAAGTTTCCATTCGTCAAAGGTCTTTACTCTCACTTCAGGGTTGTTCATGTCTAGCATAGCTGGGTTTTTCAAACACCAATCAGCCAGTTTGTGTACATTGGTTTGTGAACAATAAAATCCTGGAGCATGTAAATGATGAAACAAACACTGATTCTTTTGTTTGGATAGTTCTTCAACGGGAGGAAGTAGTAGAAAATCGCTCGATAGAGGGGGGCCTCCAAGTAGCTCAAGACTGAACACAACTCTTCTGTTCTCTAGCAACTTTTCCAAAACCTTTGCCTTTTCAGTTGAAGCAGCATACAATAGGTTTACATTGCAGCAAATGTCTCTCAGAGATGACGTGAGAGAGCTATATTCAACGTTTCCTGTTCCGAATCCGAGGCTGTGATAGTGTTTACTCAACCACCTGTTATGATTGTCAAACTGTGAACTGTGCCACCCTCCGCAATCATGTTGTGTGCTTGGAAAAGTAGATCTGGATCCATCCTTAGGTGGTGAGAAAATCCAATGTTGTACACATCTTGAATCCAAGTCCAATATGCTCAATTCCTTGATAACCACTGTCTTATCCTCTCCGATAAAAGCACTAAAATCTATGATGGCCTGTTTAATCATGACTGAAAGTTCTAACTCCAACGAAATTCAAGTTGAGACTGAGAAACCAAACCGACAAGAGCGGGCTTTATAGCCTATCCCCACCCCAAATTCCAACACTTTCTGCATGAATCACATTATCCGATGAACCAGGTTAGTGGCTGGCTCATAGCTGAATGACTTGTCGTGAATTATCAAACAATAAGCAGCAGTCCCTGGAGGGAAAGCTTCGCTGGCCTCAAATTCTAAACGAATATCAACAGGGGCTGACCTAAGGGATTCGTTTTGCTTAGAACAGTCAATTACGATTAGTGGTGCATAAGAAATGAAATTTTTAACGTCCAAAAGTGGTTGTGATGGAACATTGTAATACGACTCCTGAAAACGGGTATACATGTCGTAGAGTATAGCGTAGTGGTTCTTTGCAATGTCTAGTTTTAAATCATCATAAGGATAGTTAATAGAGTTTAAATGAAGTTTTATGTTTGATATCTTGCAGTGATCAAAGCATGCGGCAGACTTTTTTATGTTGTTTTTGCGATTCTCCTGGAAAGCCACTATGACGTATCTTGGCTTCTCTAGCTGTGATGCCGTCTTTACTGACCAAGATTGCTTGTTTGATTGTGGCAAAGAGGGATACTCATAGAGTTCCCAGCTTCGATACTCTACAGGAACACTCGTTCCCCTTTCCAAATGTCTAAGCAATGCAATTCTTTGTCTATCACTCAAAGAAACGTAGGGAACCCTCCAGCATAGTTTCTCTAGTTTAACTTTAATATCTTCAGGAGTTGTGTCAGTAGCACCACTTGAGGTCCACAAAACTGCATTTTTGTCCCCGGCCGACCTCAGTAGAACAAGCTCATGACGGCAGTTGACAATAACCTTTCTATAATCTTCTGCGAACCCCAGAAGCCTACTTAGCGGTATGCAAAAACTAAAATTTCCATCAGTGTCAGTCACATGACTTTCCAAAGTGGAAGACAACTTATTCACCTCGGTTGGCCAGCCAGAGTTCCCTAAACTTCTTAAAGAGTTCTCTCCAATAGAAGCAAATCCTTTCATTGTAGAAGTTATACCTGGGTTCCTAATGCGATCTATTTCAACTCCATTTATTTCATACCGTATCTCGTCAAACAAAAATGCAAATGCGTTTGGAGTGAACTTTGTTTTTGTAGTTGCTGTATTGTCTGACTTCAATAGCTTTCCCTCAACATACAAATAACTCATAGAAGGCACAATGCATATATCTTGTTGTTGAATTGGTATTCTTATCTCGTCATTGTTGTCTAGTGTGGTAGAAGAGTAAGGGAAATGAGTGTGAAATTCCATGTGAGAAATAGTGTCATCAAATGGGACACTACTAAAAATATCCAGTACATCCATTATTGAAGTATTTTATAGCCCAAGGAGCGTAAAAACCTTCGGTTTGTGTGTGTTAGTCGCTTGGGTGACAAACAAACACTGCTTGGTACTGTTGAGTGTGCACTCAATAAATAGTCGTCGGAGTTATGGGTTTTCTTGACTCTGTCTATATGACCCTTTGATATTCTTGGTCTTGATAAACAGTTTGAAAAATATAAGTAACCCATCTCTTACTAACTGTTCAACTAGGGACCTTCC